GAGATAAGGTGGAGGGTCCATCAGACTGATCACGCGCGACAGAGGTGACCGACTGAAAGTTCAGTCGGCCAGCCGATTGTAAACATTTGCCCTTTCAGAGACAATGTTGCTGATATACATTTGTTCCTCCGAAATATTTTATTGGCATGTACCTTCTTGAGGCGCCCCCATTCATCAAAATCCCTTCCTATACCTCTTCTTCCATATAGTGCCCCCCTCCCCCGGCAAAACGGACAGAGGTTGCAACTGCCAGGCAAAACGCGACAAAGGTTGCAACTTTGCTCTATGCGGTTGCAAAGAAAGAGTGCCGACGTGGTCTTCTCTTCCAGCACCGGCGACCACGGTTGTAGCAAAACAGCTACCTCTTGCGGCGTTTTGCCTGGTAGTTTGCAACTCCGACACTCCCGAGCCCTGTACGGAGAGGTGGAGTGCGTATGCAGCCGTGATCGGCAAGACAATCGAGCGCATCATCCTGAGCAACGCTTCCGGTAGAAACTCCATTGGCATGATGGCAGCGACATGGGCTGCACTGCAGCCAAAAGGCTGGCTGATGGAGGGAGAATATGCGTCCATATGAAGAAGAACAAGTGGGCAACGAAGAAAGGAGATAAGGTGGAGGGTCCATCAGGCTGATCACGCGTGACAGAGGCGACCGACTGAAAGTTCAGCCGGCTAGCCGATTGTAAACATTTCCCCTTTCAGAAACAATGTTGCCGGCATACATTTGTTCGTCCGAAATATTTTATTGGCATGTACCTTCTTGAGGCGCCCCCATCCATCAAGATCCCTTCCTATACGAGATTCCACTATGGACTACATACGGATCAAAATGAGTGAATCCACACTCTAAAACATGTCTATATACATCCGTATGTAGTTTGTAGTGGAATCTCTAAAAAGACTTATATTTAGGAACAGAGGGAGTCCTTGTTGTCGCCGCAGAAAACAAACCAGAGGATGCAGCAAAATCACATGTTGGTTCCAGCTCTGGATTTATCGATTGTAGCAAAACGTGACAGAGGTTGCAACTTTGCTATATGCGGTTGCAAAGAAAAAGTACTGGTGTGGTCTTCTCTTCCAGCACCGGCGACCACGGTTGTAGCAAAATGCGCCACCGCTTGCGGCGTTATGCCTGGCAGTTGCAGCCTTTTGCCTGGCCGGTTGCAGCTCTGGCACTCCCGAGCCCTGTACAGAGAGGTGGAGTGCGTATGTAGGCGTGACCGGCAAGACAATCGGGCGCACAATCCTGAGCAACGCTTCCGGTAGCAACTCCATTGGCATGATGGCAGCGACATGGGCTGCACTGCAGCCAAAAGGCTGGCTGATGGAGGAAGAATATGTTGGGAAACGTAGCAGAATTTTAAAATTTTCTACGCATCACCAAGATCAATCTATGGAGTCATCTAGCAACGAGGGAGGGGGGTGTGCATCTACATACCCTTGTAGATCGCGCGCGGAAGCGTTCAAGAGAACGGGGTTGATGGAGTCGTACTCGTCGTGATCCAAATCACCGATGACCTAGCGCCGAACGGACGACACCTCCGCGTTCAACACACGTACGGTTGGGAAGACGTCTCCTCCAACTTGATCCAGTAAGGAGGAAGGAGAGGTTGATGAAGATTCAGCAGCACGACGGCGTGGTGGTGGAAGCAACGGTGATCTCAGCAGGGCTTCGCCTAGCTCAGGGAGAGGGAGGAGTGTCACGGGAGGGAGAGAGAGGCGCCAAGGGCTAGGGTGCGGCTGCCCTCCCTCCCCTCCACTATATATAGGACCCCTAGGGGGGCGGCGGCCAAGGGGGGTGGAATGCCCCCCAAGCCAAGTGGGGCGCCCCCACCCCTAGGGTTTCCAACCCTAGGCGCAGGGGGAGGCCCATGGGGGGCGCACCAGCCCATTAGGGGCTGGTTCCCCTCCCACTTCAGCCCATGGAGCCCTCCGAAATAGGTGGCCCCACCCGGTGGACCCCCGGGACCCTTCCGGTGGTCCCGGTACAATACCGATTACCCCCGAAACCTTCCCGATGGCCGAAACTTGACTTCCTATATATAAATCTTAACCTCCGGACCATTCCGAAACTCCTCGTGACGTAGGGGATCTCATCCGGGACTCCAAACAACTTTCGGGTTACCGTATGCTAATATCTCAACAACCCTAGCATCACCGAACCTTAAGTGTGTAGACCCTACGGGTTCGGGAGACACGCAGACATGACCGAGACGACTCTCCGGTCAATAACCAACAGCGGGATCTGGATACCCATGTTGGTTCCCACATGCTCCTCGATGATCTCATCAGATGAACCACGATGTCGAGGATTCAATCGATCCCGTATACGATTCCCTTTGTCAATAGGTACGTTACTTGCCCGAGACTCGATCGTCGGTATCCCAATACCTCGTTCAATCTCGTTACCGGCAAGTCACTTTACTCGTACCGTAATGCATGATCCTGTGATCAACCACTTGGTCACATTGAGCTCATTATGATGATGCATTACCGAGTGGGCCCAAAGATACCTCTCCGTCATACGGAGTGAAAAATCCCAGTCTCGATTCGTGCCAACCCAATAGACACTTTCGGAGATACCTGTAGTGTATCTTTATAGCCACCCAGTTACGTTGTGACGTTTGGCACACCCAAAGCACTCCTACGGTATCCGGGAGTTGCACAATCTCATGGTCTAAGGAAATGATACTTGACATTCGGAAAAGCTATAGCAAACGAACTACACGATCTTTGAGCTATGCTTAGGATTGGCTCTTGTCCATCACATCATTCTCCTAATGATGTGATCCCGTTATTAATGACATCCAATGTCCATAGTCAGGAAACCATGACTATCTTTTGATCAACGAGCTAGTCAACTAGAGGCTCACTAGGGACGTGTTGTGGTCTATGTATTCACACATGTATTATGATTTCCGGATAACACAATTATAGCATGAACAATAGACAATTATCATGAATAAAGAAATATAATAATAACCATTTTATTATTGCCTCTAGGGCATATTTCCAACGGAATACGTGTCCACATGAAGAAGAACAAGTGGCCAGCAAAGAAAGGAGATAAGGTGGAGGGTCCATCAGACTGATCACGCGCGACAGAGGTGACCGACTGAAAGTTCAGCCGGCCAGCCGATTGTAAACATTTGTCCTTTCAGAGACAATGTTGCCGATATACATTTGTTCCTCCGAAATATTTTATTGGCATGTACCTTCTTGAGGCGCCCCCATTCATCAAAATCCCTTCCTATACCTCTTCTTCCATACAGTGCCCCCCCCCTCCTCGGCAAAACGGAGAGAGGTTGCAACTGCCAGGCAAAACGCGACAAAGGTTGCAACTTTGCTCTATGCGGTTGCAAAGAAAGAGTGCCGACGTGGTCTTCTCTTCCAGCACCGGCGACCACGGTTGTAGCAAAACAGCTACCGCTTGCGGCGTTTTGCCTGGTAGTTGTAACTCCGGCACTCCCGAGCCCTGTACGGAGAGGTGGAGTGCATATGCAACCGTGATCGGCAAGACAATCGAGCGCATCATCCTGAGCAACGCTTCCGGTAGAAACTCCATTGGCATGATGGCAGCGACATGGGCTGCACTGCAGCCAAAAGGCTGGCTGATGGAGGAAATTATTGTGATGCAAATTATCTTGTATGAGTTCCTATTTGTGATGTAAAAATTTCCTATGTTGACTGTATGAGTATAGAATTCAGAAATTAAAACTCCTCAACTATGAAGAGAAAAAACACCACCAAACAACACTAAGATTAATTCGTTTTCTAAGCTGGTTGCCTCTGAAACTGAGACTCCTATATTACGAGGAGTAAAAATGCGGCCAAACACCATTAAGATTAATTCGTTTTCTAACCGGTTGCTTTGAATTGTAAACGTGCTGAAATTTTAAGGAAGCTGATGTGCAAGTGCTCAACCTTGTTTGTATTAGATTTTTTTTATCCATACTTGGCTTGCCCCCTCCCCTCCTCTATACCCAAATCTTGGCCCCGCCCCTGCTTCCATAGTCTCTCCCTTTGCTCTTCCTGAATGGAGTTCCGCCATGGACGAGTTGGAGCTCAAAAGTTCATGCGCCCAGAGTTCAGTAAGATGGCGGCTCAAGGGGATGCCATCGTGAGAGGTTAGCAAATTTGGGTTCCTTATTAATGTTGTGTACTCACGTTCAACGTTCTGTCTGCATATGTTGATTGTTGTATACACATGGGCATTCAGCTGCAAGGGGTTGTTTTTATGTTGCAAACGTGTTTTCTGTGTTGTTGTGTGCGCTATTTTATTATTACTTTTTCTGTTTTTCTATTGCATATGTCATGCCTAAGTTTCAACGCTTTGTTAAATCAATGGGCATTTGTGGATGATTACGAGATGTTGCAATGCTTTGCAACTTTTCCTTCAAAAAAGACACCAGAAAATGCCGCACGCACAGCAATGTAGCTTGCAGGATTTTCATTTTGCGATGATCAGACAGTCCAAATTTCGTATTTACATGGCCCAATCTCTCACAGCCAACGTTCAGTGTAGCTCTTAAAGAAAAGCACATCATTTACTGCACTAATCAGTACTCCCTTTGTCCGGAAATACTTGTCATCAAAATGGATAAAAAGGAATGTATCTAGATTCCAATAATACTTGTCATCAAAATGGATAAAAATGGATGTATCGATCGAGTACACATTAAAGACCGCCAACTGCATTGTAAAATCAGCAAATAAGTTGGTGAGTATAAGCTACAATTCTATAGACACTGTATTCCAGGAGTACAAATATTCTGGTGCAAGTTCATTTTGACTTTCTAATACTACAGATCTGTTAAAGAGCATCAAAACGGAAAAAGGAGCTTAAAAAACGAGCTGCTAATATTACCAACGGAAAATCACATACACCCACTAGAAAGGCAACACCATTGGTGCTTCTTCCCATGCAAGCTACTTGGAAAATTTCCTTGAGGTACACCTCAAACAACTAGCTGCAGCACAAAGTGAAAAAAGGGCAGTTCTTATGCAAGAACGTCCTTCAGCTTGGCCTTCTGGTCGTCTGTCAGGGTTTTCGGGAACAACACCTCAAACGTCACATACAGATCGCCTTTCTTGTTGCTTTGGTGCAATGGCATGCCCTCTCCTTTGAATTTCCTTACCTCCTTGGGCTTAGTGACACCCTAACAATTTGTGATGGAACAGAGTAGATTAGATGCAGTCAGCCTACAAGATGCAAAATGAATGGTGTACTGTTGAGCATTTGGTGACTTACCTGGGAGCCGATTTGGACAAGATGGTTGTCAAGATGCTTGAGGTTCTTCTCAAATCCAACCAGAGCTTGGAGCTGTAGCAGCAAAAGGTAATCAAATCATGAGAGATGTAGAACAGACTCCATCCAGTACGCCATATTGGAAAGAAGAGAAATTTGGTGGATTAAGTGAAGTTGGATTCAGAGGATGACAAATAGACCAGGGGTAGAAGTAACTAAATAACAGCAAGGCCCATAAATAGGACATTTACCCGAAGTTGATCTAGAGTTTACTGTGAATTTTCAGCAGAACCCTTATGTCCCCAATGGAACCTAAATGTTAAAGTGATCACTGCAATGGAAATGTGCAATACTCCTTTGGAGAGTTCACAGTTTGATGTAGGATGTAGCGAGGTTTTAACTGGAATAATGAGTACCCAGTTTACGGATATGTGATAGCATCAAACTCATCCAATTTTTATACAACTTCTTTGGTTCTTACATACCAATTAAGATCATTTTCAACCAAGGTACAGGCTGCACTAATTTTCTCCGCACTAACTGGTCTTAATGTTAATTGTAATAGGCACAAGAGAGAGGGCAGACAGGCCATACCAGGGAGATTGTAACTGTTGCATGCAGGTCATTGCCTTCTCTTCTGAAGCGGTCATGTGGTGCTGTCCGAATCTTGAACTGCTCATGAAACCATTTTTTCAGGATGAAATTAGTCTCAATTATTTCCTACGATAATTGCAACCAACCATGGAAAGGAGGAAAAACAAACCTTCAAGTCTCCAGGTTCTCCATCAATCTTAGGCTCTCCTTCCTCGAAAAATGAAACCTCCTAAAATATCAAATGGCACTGCCAAGTCAACATCTAAGCAGTAAAGTGGAGCATATCACAATGGATACATTGCATCATGATAAACAACTTATCAACTTAAGCAATTATATTTAATTGTCTCTTGACCATGTGGTAACTTATTACCATTGTCATAGCAACCTTGTGTAGGCAATCAGATGTAACCACAGTTCACATGAAAAGTGGCAAATGCACACATATTCGATTCAAACAAATGGTTCAGGCACCACATTTCAAAAATAGACTAAAATAATATTCTGATGATGACCCTTACACATTGTAGTGGTATCTTATCTGGACGTTTCTTCTTAGCTACCTCTATAGTCTAAACATGCCCAAGTAATACATTGGTGTAAGTCAATGATTTGTATCTCAAGAAATAAACAAGCAAATTTGCCAAAAGAATTCACTTCTCAAGTCTCGAATAACCATATGCAACTAAGTGACAGCAGATATACTTTCAATTGACCCAAGGCTAAGTACTGGAGATAAAATATGACAACTGCTTCATACCTGTCCATCTTGCATACCCTTCTCAATATCAACAGTTAAAAAGTCACCTTCTCGTACATACTTAACATTTGGACACTGGTCGCAGACCTGAAGATGACAAAGAAAAAGCTATCACTGGGTAGAACAGAAAATAATGAAATGATTAAGAAGAAAACTTAATTTAATCACAGAAGAAATTCATGAAACACTCTAGTTTTCTGTATGTTATAAATCACATCAGCCGCAGATAACATAGCATGTCAGTTAGGAAAGTACCTGCTCGGTCATTTGTTGATACATTCCAGGACCAATTTGACGGTGGTAAACTTCATTCCTGCAGTTGCATCGTCTCTTTCCTGGTGCTGGTTTTATGATGTTTTTTTCTCTCCAAACCTACCATGTCAACAAAATAGCAAACTAAAATTTGGGCTATACACAATTAAGCGTTCATAATGCAGGCAGCCTACTTCGTGAAAACTCGCGTCATGCTACCAAATATAGAGATTAGGTTATCTACTAACTAGGTGCAGCATTTGTCTAGTGTCTGTGATAATTTGGTATACGTAACTTAGCAATATATTTCCAGTTCACCAGCCACGCAAATTGGTTACCTTTAATGAACCACCCATGTACAGGTCCTCTAGTGAAGCATCCAGTTCAACAATCACATCATCACCTTTTATGATCTGTTCTTCCTCCTCTTCCATACCACCACCACCTCCTCCGAAAAAGCTGAATAAGTTTGTAAAAGAAGAGCAAGTGATTACTAAAACTGGAAATTCATGTGGTACAAACACAACAAACACAATATGATGATTGGTATTGCGTTGCTTCCGTCCAGTTTAGTACTGAATTATTTTAACAACTTTGAGAAATGACAACATCAGAGAAATACATGATATTTATTTTTTCAATTATGTGCTGCAGCACAAGAAGCAATCCTCATCTGTGTATGCCATGACTTCACAAGTGATGCAAGCACATATGAAATTTTAGTTTGTCAGCTGCGCTGTTGTTGATCCTTACGTCAATTGCTTTTAATTGCACGAGCATATGCAGAAAAGAACATAATTCCACTACTATAAGCTGAACTTTCTAAAAATTATTACTCATGATCTCTTGGATCAATGACAAACACCAAACTGGTGCATTTGTCAACACTCAATACAAATTTTTCTCCTCGCTCACACCGAATCGACGCCTGTGCCGCCCAAATCCACCCCGCACCCCCGCCGACACTTCCAATCAACCGGTGCCTTCCCCGACCCCCAAAATGGCAGGATTGAGCCGCCGCCGATTCGAAGCACAGATCAGTGCCGCGGCGCGCAGCCGACCCGAGCACGCAGCAGCGCGTCCCCCCTCCCGCTACTTCACCAACCTACCGCCTCAAAGGGGAAGTATCATGGCGTGCGGCATCACCCGCTGATACTGGACTGGCTCCTTCTAATCGGCGGAGCTGGCGGCAAGGGCCTACAACATGAAGGCGGTCAGCCTCTACGACAGCCAGGCAAAAATCAACTTCCCCCTCAGCAGCCGTGAGGTCCTGGAGTTCGTTGCCATGGACCCCCAAGTGGTCTCCCGCCACGGGGTGCAGGAGGATCAGGAGGCCTTCAAGTGGCTTGAGGGGACGCGCGCAAATGGGGAGTACATGGCCAAGCTTCGCCGGAATAATCTGGAGTTTGTCACCAAGGAACGCCGGCATCTTGAGTTGTACAAGAAGGGGGCTACCGACGAGGTCAGGCTGTCTGGTGGGGCGTTCGTTGACCTTTGCTCCAGCGACACCGGCTCCGGCAACAAACGGTGTGAATTGAGATGAGCTCATGAACGAGTAGTAGGCTTTTTTTTAGTTTTTATTTCCTTCAAATCATGTAGTTTATGCAATGTAGTTTAAATTTCATGTAATGCAATGTAGTTTCAATCGAAATGTGTGTTCATGGACTAGTTTCAAATTTTTGTTTGAATGAAATTGTGTGAAAAAAAGAGTTTGAGTTAAATTTAAGAGTTAGGCTAGGAACCACATTTTTAACTCCTCAAATATAAGGAGTTAAAGTTTGAGGAGGCATATGAGGGCTTAAATTTTAAGGGATTGGCTAGAGATGCTCTAGCAATAGTACAATATTGGAATGGGCAGCTCAGGGGATATTTCAACTCAAACAGGAGGTGTCATTTCACTACTTAAGTGCATCTCAATCTTCATGTATTCAATACGGTCATATGAATTACCGTATTCCCTATCGATTGATGAGCAACTAAAATTTTGACAGTTCGCTATATCTATAAACAGAAGATCCATGCAATCTAATATCTCTCTTGATATGTACAGCAAGTCAGCAATCTAAGGGCGACCAGAACACGTTTTGTTGATATTTCACTAGCAAGCATGTTGCATTACACATTATAGCCTAATGACAGATTATTGTTTCTACTTCTAAGTTGACAATTCTTTTCCCTGTATTTCTAAACTCGTATAGATAGCAAATTATTACACGGTGCATTGTAATAGAACAAAATAGGTAGATCATTCCTCAGAGCGCCACACACACTGTATACACGGCATACTTGAGATTGATGCTACTAAATGACAGATGGTAGGTAACATTTAAAAAAATCCTCACCTGCTGAAGATGTCCTGCATGTTCATCCCACCACCGCCTCCTCCTCTCCCGCCTTGGAACTGCTTCAGCCCCTCCTCACCATACCGGTCATAGATCTTCCTCTTCTCCTGATCCGTCAAGACCTCATACGCTGCATGATAGCAACACATTCAAACATAGATCCCGTGAAGTCGAATTATTCAAGCTCGGCGAGTGGAATTTCACTCCTTTTACTCCTAACACAGGCTAGTACCATTATTGATCTCGGCGAATCGCTTGGTGGCCTCCTCATTGTCGGGGTTCTTGTCGGGGTGGTACTTGAGCGCGAGCTTGCGGTACGACCTCTTGATCTGATCCTCCGACGCGCCCTTGGGGACTTGCAGCACGTCGTAGAAGCTCTTCCTGATCCACACCAACAAAAACAACACGAATTTTAGCGGGGCCCAAATGCCAACCCAATATTTGGAGCAGACTGAACTCGGACGCACAGATCCTAAATCCGTTTCGTCAGGGAAAAAATCACTCGTGAATTCGGTAGGAGTGGGATCCGGAGGGCAAAATAATAAGATCTAGAAGAAACCACGCGAGGATCAACAACTGTTCCGAGCATTACCCCTCGATCACCGCCGCGAGATGCAGCAGCAGCGCGAGGACGGCCGCGAGCCGCGGCCCGCTCCTCCGCGGCGCCGCCATCCCCCCCTCGCCGCGTCCCGCTCGACCTCCCCCTCAACCCACCGGCTATGAGTCAGGGCCGGAGTTCCCGCGGCTCGCGAATCCACGCGTATGCCCCTGCGGTACTGCCTGCCTCCTCCTCGTCTTCGTCGTCGTCGTCGTCGTCGCCGTCTTCCTCACTGGCTGGCCCTCGCGCCTCGCGGGTTAAGAGCTTCTACAACCAGAAGGGGAAGGGATCTGGAGCTCCTTTTCGGGGAGACGTGGAGGCGGGTGACGTGGACCAATGGGAGGCCAGATGTGCGGGGCTCACGCGAATGGGGTGACTCCACGTGGATAAAACGACCGCATTAAAGGAATCGCCCGGTGCACCGGGTCAGGTTGACTTGGCGATACTGGTAAACGGTCTACCTGTGATGAACGTAGCAATCACGTCATGTCTTCATTCTGTTTTTATTTACTCTGCATAACTTTGTCAAAATCAAAACAAAATCTTTTACAATAACAAGTATATTTGATGTGAAAATCTATTGAAATATGATAAATATTGTTGGTTTTAGACACTTTCATGTGAAAAACATTCGGATTCCCCACCTGGTTTAGTGCATTTTCAAGGATAGCATCCAAACGAATTCATTTGTCAGTTGACAACTAGGCACGCATCGACCATCTAATCCTATCCTTCAAAAATCCCTATTTGTCAGCCCCTCCTTTTCTGTCTTTTTTCGCTAAATCAAATGTCTTTGATATTAAACATTCAAAAGCAATTCGACGATACATATATAATCTTTCAAACAATTGAAAGTTAAATGATGCATGTCAAACAATTCAAACAAAATTCACAATCCAAACCCAATAATTCAAACAAAGTTCATAATCTGAACCCAACAATTCAAACAAAAGCAACGAATGAATCATTACCCGCCACCATTAGCATAGCGTGCAATGATGGTGCTACACGTTTGGTGAACCCACACCGCAGCAGCGGCATCCAAGTCGTCGGCCTTGACATACATGAAATCACACGACTCCTCGCAATTCGTCTGAATGGCAAGCATCTTCTCCTTAATGTTCACCTTCTTTGCTTACACCTCCGTGAACTCTTTAAACTTCTCCTATTTCTTTTTCTTTCCGAGTTCATTGAGTTTGGCACTTACCACCTACTTCTTGTTCATGATGTCCTCCCACTTCTCTGTCATTTGGCTAGCTGCCCCACTCCACTTCACCCTCTCATTCCCCCTCGACCTCACCACTCGATTTGCTAGTACAATACAAGCACCCTTTAAACTCCACCGCTTCTTTCACTAACTTCATCCACTTGTAAGGTTGTGCCACTTTTCGGCATTGGCGGTCTCGAGTGAATTGGCCAAGCCAGTCCATTCACTTTGGCCAACTTCATCCAACAGTGATGGACAGTGAATGTCTTTCCCTCGTTTTTCTTGTACAATGTCACCACGAGGCCTGGCTAGCAAAGCAAATGAATCACATGATGAACACATTGCAACATAGAGCAGATGAATCATGAGATGAACTTTATATGAAGCAAAACTTACGAGCTTGATGATACCCATGTGAGAGCGCTGAAGGAAATATGCCCTAGATGCAATAATAAATGTTATTATTTATTTCCATGTCGTAATTAATGTTTATTTTTTGGGGTTATAATTGCAACGGTTCTTGAGTCTACAATAACCACGAGATTCGGAGTGAAACCCGATTGCATGTGTGGAATAATAAACAACAAGTAGATTCCTAGTCTCACCTCTAAGACTAGCTCATGTGTTGCATGATGATTCTGTTTTTCTGATCACAGGCATAATAAAAGTAAAAAAGAAAGCCGACAACAATGGGAACACATTGTTGGAAGAACAATTGTGCCGAACAGACCCAATCAGTCGATATACTATGAGATCACAACGTCATTTATTATAAGTATAATCATGCGAAAGATAACGTATGCCTAATTCCTTAGACCATGAGAGGGAGCCCAACAGAGCTGACAACCATTAGAAGTTATCTATTCACCCCCCTCTAGAAATACTTTATCGATCCTACACTATGCCACCTGGTGCACGGCTCTTCATTTGGGCATATGTGCCACAATACTTGCTCACCGATGATTGATGCAGTTATCATTCTGATCATCAATTTTTGCCACAACCTATGGCAGGTAGTTCTTCAATTGATGAAAGAACTCACACACCTTCCTCCAAAAGGTCATCCCTTTGCTCAACATTGGCAAAGCATCAGTGCTTGTGCCTAGCCAAGCCAACCACAACAAATCATCCCTAATTGGTGGTGTATGCCGCTCATATGTTCGATTTCCTTGCTTCCATCTCAGGCACTGACGAGTATTGATCCTCCACCCATCTGTTCGTTTGACCATCGTGGGGCATGGATGATGTCGTGCAAGTGCATAGAGCTATGTAGCAATTTCATGATAAGTAAGGTTTGTCGATCCCATGGGGAGCGAATAGGTTGGCATCACAATCCCCGCAGCTGTGTCATCACTTACACAACCACGCTCACACCCAAACTAGAGTTTGGAAATAGCTCACTTAAGTAAGTTGCAAGGGGAAGGTAAAAAGCATGAAATAAACTAAGTACTAGAGAGAATGGAAAATAAATACTAAACTAAGCAGAAGAAATAAACTAAGAGAAGTATGTGATGTTTTAGATGAGATTGCTAGCATCTAGGTACGGTCTCATTCGGTACCGGTGCGGAATGAAGTTAGGGTTTTATGACCATGTCACGTTGTGACTAAGTCAGTGCCTGCACTATAGGATACGGTGGTCTACTTCTGGTGGGCGGTCCCTCGCATAACATTATCTCTCAAGACGCGCTATATTGAGATAACTCATCCATCCTACTTCGTGTTCCATACCAGAGGCGACTAACACAACGACATTAAGGTCCTCGTGGTTTGAGGACCGGACGAAGGCATTAGGTTCTATGCACAGCCATTGACGGTGTCCTAGATACCGGGGTACTAACCCAGCCGACCTGTAGTCCTCGATGGGTCGGTGGGCCCTCGCTCTCTTTGAGGTGGACTCCATAATCCGCGTGCCTAGGCGTGATTAAGACTGCACCTACCGAAGACTTGATGTATACTCCAAGACATCTCCTACCGCCTCCATGTAACCCCCCTGTATACCGACCATGTAACCCCAGATGCCCCCGTGTATATAAGCCAAGGGGTTTAGCCTCTGGAGGGGATGATGGCCCACAAGTATAGGGGATCAATTGTAGCTCTTTTCAATAAGCAAGAGTGTCGAACCCAACGAGGAGCAGAAGGAAATGACAAGTAGTTTTTGGTAAGGTATTGTCTGCAAGTGCTGAAATTGTAAGTAGCGAGTAGTTTGATAGCAAGATAATTTGTAACGAGCAAGTAACGATAATAGTGACAAAAGTGCATCAAGGTAGCCCAATACTTTTGAGGTAAAGGATAGGCCAAAACGGTCTCTTATGATAAGCAAAGCATTCTTGAGGGTACACGGAAATTTCGTCTAGTCACTTTCATCATGTTGGTTTGATTTGTGTTCAGTACTTTGATAATTTGATATGTGGGTGGACCGGTCCCTTACAATTAATCCTCCCGCAAGCATCCGCAACTACGAGAAAAGTATTAAGAATAAATTCTAACCATAGCATTAAACTTTTGCATCCAATCGGTCCCTTACGGAATAGCGCATAAATTGGGGTTTAAGCTTCTGTCACTCTCGCAACCCACCATCTAATTGCTACTCCACAATGCATTCCCTTAGGCCCAAATATGGTGAAGTGTCATGTAGTCGACGTTCACATGACACCACTAAGGGAATAACAACATACATACTATCAAAATATCGAACACATATCAAGTTCACATGATTACTTGCAACATGATTTCTCCTGTAACCTCAAAAACAAAAGTGACTACTCACAAATGATAAACATGTTCATGATCAGAGGAGTATTAAATAACATAATGGATCTGAACATATAATCTTCTACCAAATAAACCATACAGTAATCAACTACAAGATGTAATCAACACTACTAGTCACCCACAAGTACCAATCTATAGTTCCGGTAACAAGATTGAACACAAGAGATGAATTAGGGTTCAAGAGGAGATGGTGTTGTTGAAGATGTTGATGAAGATTGCCCTCCCCAAGATGGGAGAGTTGTTGGTGATGATGATGACGATGATTTCCCCCTCCGGGAGGGAAGTTCCCCTGGTGGAATCGCTCCGCTGGAGGGCAAAAGTGCTCCTACCCAAGTTCCACCTCGAGGCGGTGGCGCTTCATCCCGAAAGTCCTCCTGTCATTTTTTCTAGGTCAAAACCACTTATATACCAGAAGATGGGCACCAGAGGTGGCCCGAGGAGGCCGCAACCCACCAGGGCGCACCTGGGGGGCCTGGCGCGCCCAGGTGGGTTGTGCCCACCCGGTGCCCCCCTCTGGTGTTTATTGGCTCCAGTATTTCTCAAATAATCCATAAAAAATCTCCATAAAGTTTCAGCTAATTTGGAGTTGTGCAGAATAGGTGGCCTGACATAGCTTTTCTAGGTCCAGATTCCCAGCTGTCGGAATTCTCCCTCTTGGTGTGTTCCTTGCAAATTATGAGAGAAAAGGCATTAGAATTACTCCAAAAAGCATTATTATGGATAAAACATTATAAATAACAGTAAGAAAACATGATGCAAAATGGACATATCAACTCCCCCAAGCTTAGACCTCACTTGTCCTCAAGCAAAAACTGAAATCGAAAAACATGTCCACATGCTTTGAGAGAGAGGTGTCGATAAAACAAAATACGACATAGAAGCATCATGTTGATTATTATAACAGCAACAAAATTAAACGTAGGACTTTTATCATAGAACTTTTATCATATACTTCTCATGAATAAGTAATCGTTCATCACACAATCGAAGTATAAAGCAAAAACTCTATTAGAAACCAACAAACTATGTTCTCGGTCAACTTTGCAACTACGATTCATCATCTTTTCTGGAAGGGTCGCGTGTCGGAGCCTTTAG